TAAATTTTGCAGCCAGAGGAGTCTGTAACTCGAAAAGTCTGTAAGTCGAGCCGTCTGTAAGTCGAGGGTCCACTGTATATATACATATATACATACACATATATACATATATATGTGTGTGTTTTGTGTGTGTGTGTGTGCAACTTTCAATCAGTGATCAGCATCAGCATCTAACTATCATTCTCATTTTCGGGTGCCTCACATCCCATACTGCATGAAGAAGTTTATCCCTGAGAATTAACACTGGGATATTTATTCCCCATGAAATATCCCAGAAGTTAATGCATTACTGTACTGGACAGGAGGACCACAATGCCCGAACTAAAACTGGAGGAAACAGATAACATTCAAACCAAGAAATAGCAGTCACAGATACTGCCTGTTACGGCACTCCCTCAGTTTGTTCACCCTATACCTTCCCTGTGAATCAGCCTGCAGAAACCCAAGTTCCGTGGTACACATATCTATCTGGTCACTCTCTAAGTCATGACTTGCACAATACAGTGCTGCCATTGAATCTTGACTGATCTAAGCCAATTTTTACATACTTGTCTACTAAACATTAGGACTCATGCACTGGCTTTGACAGTATATCATAGGGGCTGGGAGGGGAATAAAGGCTCCTTCCATATACTCTCCAAGTATACGTGATGCAAAACAAGATATAACACAAGAAAAATTCTCTACATTGAACAGACATTCTTCTTCAAATGACCTTCAGACTAACTGCTGTATTAAGCATTCATAATAAGAAGAGATCTGTTAAGAAACGGGGGGGGGGGGCTTGTGATGCAGGGGGGTAACTGCAATACTGCAGTAAAGACTCTGCTCACAATCTGAGTTTGATCCTCCAGGTTGACTCAATCTTCTATCCTTCTGAGTATCCAGCTTGCTGGGAGGGGGGCAATGTGCAGTCCGCATAATTAATAATTATCTACTGCCCAGAGAATGCCTTAACCTCTATGGGATGGTATATGAGCAGCATACACTTTGAAACATAGCCCTTTTTATTACAGTATCAAAATTAGAAATTTCGCAAGCAATTGAATTTTCAAAGGACATGAGCTATCAGTCACACATTGCATAAAACCCCCCACACTGTTAATGCTCTTTCCTTGCCCCCAATTCTTAAAGCAAGTGCCTAAAGATTGCATTAATGCAAAGCTCTATTGTAGGGAAAAGCACTCATTAATCTGTTAACTTCCAAAAAATTGTTAGTGCATTTTCAGGTAGAAGGAAATGTTAATACATCTCCTTCTAAGAGTATTGGTACCACGGCAGTATTCAACTCAGCTGCTGGTGTTTCACTTTGAGTCCCCCATAAATTCAGATTGCATAAAAGATGCATTTTCTAAGCCTTGAGGTATCACCTAGGGCTATTTCTGATGCCTTCAAAGGTCAAAATTAATAGCAAGAACAGAGATCCTCCTTCTCTTTGAAAAAACACCAGCCAGCTGGGCACCTAAGTCTGATCTGCACATCACAGGTAGAAATCACTACAAGTTGCTCATCCTATCAGCTGTACTAAACACAGGATCTTTGCATGCAAATTTTAACCCATTACCTACCAAAGAGAATCCCCTGGATATCAAAAGATGCCCATTTCAATATACGTATATCAAAGACACATGTTCCCAGACTGGCCTATTCAGAGCTTAGTTCGGGGGAGCTAGACCTGTCACCTGCTTTCCTGATACTCCTTACTGTATTCACTATCAGCCATGCTTCTTAAGAGAACACCTCATGGAACTTAGATTTATCTCAGAGGTAAATCTTACGAGAGGGCTTTAATTCTATTTCCTACTGTATTCAAATGCCCAGAATCACGAATGTGTGTGTAATCTAACTGCAGCCATCCATGTCATTAATTCCACCCTTCCAGCACAAAAATTGGATTATCCTTAATGAACCAGTAGGGGGAAATAGGTGAATACCATTCTTTCAATGGACACTCCAACTAGTGTCCTTCTGTAGACTTAATTGACCATCACATGCTAGAAAGATATTTCTACAGTTCCCAGGCTGGCAAAATCTCCCCTACCTTACCAAACATTGTCTTCAACGTATAAACTACTTATATATGGATACTGGCTGATGTTATACTATGTTGTAGTTCCCTCTGATTACAGTGTGAAACATTCGCCCTTATCTTCAGCTATTTTGGATTCAATAGATCTCTTGCTGAACTTCAACTCTTTCCACAAAGACAAAGCAAGGAAAGGAACCTGGCAGAGTCACAACTCTGTTTGAGAAACAGCATATTGTCACCACAAATAATCAAACATTATGTGTTGCCCAGTAGAGGGGAATAAGAATGTTCCAAGCACCCATAAGAAATGCCGAGGGGAGAACTGTTCTACAGTACTTCCAGGTAATCTACGAGACAGTGGAAAGGTGTAAAACAATCTTGTTGCTTGCTATGTGGCTGTAGCTTACAACGCTGAGGTAAAAATTATAGAGAGTTCTCAATGCCAACTTCTTAATACTTTCCTCTACAGTCAAAACAGAAGCTATGACAGACATGGCATGATTAGTAAATGCTTTGTGCTCTTAAAGAGCAGCAATTACAGGCATGTGAAAAGAAGGGAAGCAGTCCCTAGGATGCTCTTCCTCACATGCCTCCCGAGAGGCAGCAGGCCATTAAAATTCCATGATGAAGAATCAAAAACAGCCTGGGAACAGCCAGGAGGCAATACAGCAAATTAATACACCAACCATCCCTGGGGAGGACAGCAAAAAAGCCCCCCAAAAACACTTTTCCCTTTGCAAAATAAAATTATACTACCAATGATAACAGAGTCACCGCACACACACACACATACAGTTTTCTAATGATCGGTGGAATTCCCAGTGCTGCTTCTGACGCTTTGAGAGAAGACTTGACACATCACAGACAGAAAGCAAGCAAGAAAGCGAGTCTTGGTATACTGCAATTTATACAGTCTTTCAACTGCATCTTCCAAGGAACCCTCCACACAGAGCTTTCTCCTTGACACTGACGAGCCCCTCCTTGCACATTTGTGGCTCCACACTCAACAATCTGGCTAGCGGCTCTGTTTAAATGAAGCAGTGGGTTACAAGACAGTCACTATGCTACCAAAATGAATTGTACCAGAAACCACTAGGGAGGCAAAGAAAACAGAGACTAAGATAGGCACAGGCTCCGGGAGGGGGGACATGGAATTTGCCTGATAACAATGCTTTCATTGCATAACACAGGCAATGCTTATAAGAACTGGCGGTGTGAGAAGTAGGGAAACAAACTGCACAGCATAGTGCTGGATAGCCAAACTATGCCCCGAGATACTGTGCTTCTGAAGGTTGTTTTATTCTATTGTACCCTAAATTATGATATATTCTGAAAATTCCACACTCAATTAGTTTGGATTTGTTAGCAGGCTCCATTTGTGAACACGTATGCTTCAACTGGGGACAGAGTAGAGATTTTGACATTTCTACCCCTAAACAGATTTACCAAAAGATAAAATAAAATAAAATGAGAAAAACAAAATTACAGGAACAGACACACACATACACAATGTATTGACACAAAGACTTGTCATTCATTCATTCATTCATTCATTCATTCATTCATTCATTCATTCATTCATTCATTCATATCTTGCCTTTCCACTACAAGATAATGCTCAGAGTAGACTGAAAAATACCACAATGCTTTCAAAACATCTCAGAAGCGTTATGCACTACCCACAGGAAGGCACATGTCTATTTGCAAGGTTAGCTGGAGTCCTATACAAGTCATAGGTGGGAACCTTGTATCCTGTCTCTAGTTTTGACATTCTCCTGATCTTGCATATTCCTTACTAAGGTTCCAGATTAAATACCAAAAGAACCTTCATAAAAATCTCAAGTTCTGTTTTGAAACAGAGACTTCTGATCCTACGGCAACTATTCATGAAAATATTATTCAGGAACTTTTACACTTTCTAATTGTAACAAATGGGCGCCTTTCCAACCTGGGCTGTCAAAATTCACTGTAGCTTTTTCATCACCATCAAGGGAAACTTAGCATATTCCTTGTACTCCCATCCATTTATCCCGTGAGATTCAGAATCTTCAACGATAGAGTTTGGAAGTGAAGCACTTAGTTTGCCACAGTCCTATATATGTCAACAGTTTTTCCACCAAGTTACACAAAAGGACATACACACTGTATCACACTTTTGACTCAGTAGTATACTAAGTGTGCAATGAAGACTGATTAATGTCATCAAGTCTTGTGTAACATTCAGAAAGGGAAGCTTTAGGAAATACAAATCATGAAGAAGTTGAGAAGAGACATTTGAATGATGTGTGTTTATTTCAAAACCTGTAATTATTGCATAATTCAAGTTAACTGTATCTGGTAAAAGTGAAAAGAATGGTAACAGCCTCACAGGTGTTTATGAAGCAAAAAGAGAAAAAAGCCAAATCCTAACCTTCTGTAGATGAAGAACAAAGCTTTCTTTGCAATTGTAAGTTCTCATTGGAGCCCTTTCTGGGCTGGCATGCAACTTACACATTTAGAAATAAATTTTATAAAGAATTCAGGACAAACTAAGCTAATCAAACCTGAGTGCTCACTGGAAGGACAGATCCTGAAGCAGAGGCTCCAGGACTTTGGCCATCTCATGAGAAGAGAAGACTCCATGGAAAAGACTCGGATGTTGGGAAAGAGGCAAGAGGAGAAGGGGACGACAGAGGACGAGATGGTTGGACAGTGGCATTGAAGCTACCAACATGAATTTGACATTACTTCGGGAAGCAGTGGAAGACTGGAGGGCCTGGCATGCTCTGGTCCATGGGGTCATGAAGAATCAGACACGACAACGACTAAACAACAACAAAGCTAACTTACTCTGTCCAATAGCTGAAAGCTAGAGATTATGAAAGAAGTTTTCTACAGAGATGAGATAACATGCTGCTACTCAAAGTTTTAAAAAAATGAACTATCACAACCACCAAATTTTTACCCTTCCCTACTAATTTTCCCAATGGAACAAGACTATATGAAAACAAGTAGATTAAGTACTTTAAGGGAAAAATGTCTTCTTACAATCTGGAAGAAATGTGTTGGTTAGTATCTTCTTCAATGCTGATTTTTATACCCTTTTTTTCTCTTAAGATGTCATTTTAAAGGGTAATTTAATTGTTGGTTTATTCTGTTGTTGTTGTTTTGTTGTTTTTTGGGGGGTTTTTTGGTTTTGGAGTTGTTAATCTTATAATTTATTATATATATATTTTTTTACTTTCCGGTTATTAGCTGCCCGGGGGAAAGGCAGATAGAAATGTTTTAATCAAAACTAAACATGAAGCCGTTTCTTCCAGACACACAGGCCCCCAAAGCCAGCAGCCAAATCTCTGCCAACATACTATTCTGATTCACAGTAGTTGCAGGTGCTCCCAGAGAATCTCCCTGCAGCTGGAAAAGTGATGGGTTACTCCAACAGTTGAAAAGTCATCTCAGAAACTCTTTGGAACATCTGTGAATCTTGAAGAAACAATAGAGTATGCCACAACTAGAATGTGGAAACAACAAACTACCCACCTCTTAAAATACATGGAACTCCAAGAAAATCTAGCCTCTGGTCACCTGGAGAACTGGGTTACCTGGAAGTCATGTAATAGGCTATGGACTAGAGTTGGCAGAACCAAGATGAGAAAAAGAGATTTTTGTACTGACAAAGTTCTTCATAAGTGCAGAGAAAAATAAGCAATGTCATGCCTACGTCAGTGCGCTCTATGCTGCTCAACATGAAGTAGTTCCCCCAAATGCTCTTGATATTGCCCATTATTTGGCAAAAATCATCAGAAGTATTTATTAATTGTACTGTGATGCATCTGACATGAACAAAGCAAGCAAAAAGACCTAAAGAACTTTTTTAAAAAATAGCCACAACAATTGCCTTGTGTTTTGGATGAAAAGTGATTAAGGAGTCAAGCTCTGGGACTTCCCCTTATTTGATATCCCTATGTGACGATGTTAATTGGAAGAGGATCTGCTAAAGACCATATTAATTTCTGACATTGGTATTATCAACATTCAGGCTGTCCTTTGCTCTGTACGGCTTGGGTTCTTTTTTCCTGCTGGCAACATAGGCATGATACTGAAAGACAATAATTAACTATTTCCTGGTATTTTGAATTGTAGACACAGAAGGAATATTTCACATTCATAATTGAAAGAGTTGTTTTTGAAGGAGTGAAGAGTAATACACTAAAGAAATGCTGCTTCTAAACAGATTTCTGCTGCACACTAAAAGTCTTCCTTTTTCAGAAGGGCTTTTGGACTTGAATGATTTTTGTACCCTACTTTTTTTAAGGTGTCATTTTAAAGGGTAATTTAATTGTCGGTTTTATAATGTTATTTTTTGTTTTGGAGTTGTTAATCTTATAATTTATTTTATATTATTTTTTTACTTTACGGTTATTAGCTGCCTGGGGGAAAGGCAGGTAGAAATGTTTTAAACAAAACTAAACATGAAGCCTTTTCTTCCTGACAGACATGCCCCCAAAGCCAGCAGATAATGCTATAATCATTCCCTATAATGAAAAGAGAATGTAACAGTTACCTGGCTGTGCAGTGTGCTGGGGAGCACCTTCGGTGGGAGGCATCAGCAAGAACATCCAAGGAATACAGAGGAGATAATGGATTTAACTAGAAATGCAAAAGAAAAACTTGGTTAACAGTGTATCAAGCAACATTATCTGCACAAAGATGGTTGATTTATCCTCACCCATTTGTGCAGGATCCCTGGATACTTCTGTAGTATATATAGCAGTAAATCAGTATCAGATCCCAGATCACACTGCTTGCACCTCTGAAGAACACAAACCATGTGGACTAGAAATACACCTAACTCCACACATCCCATGAGCTGAGAAACAATTTCTTTTATTTTTTCCAGGTAAGTAACAAAACCTCTACACTCTAGAGATTATGTCTGTTCTGATTAGTATAAAGCTACCTATGTATCGTGATTATAGCTCATCTCTACTACAGAATCTCACTATCAACTTCATCACCTTGGGAACGATTTGCCTAGGTGTCACTGACATCAAATGAAGATAGCTTGCAGAAAGAAAAAAACACAGAAAGAAAGTATTCTTAAAAAGATGTGTGTAACCAAAGTGATCAGTTTCATCAGTACATTAAGCAATTTCCCAAATCCAGTTATCATAACAACCCATATATAGAAAATGAATTACTTGTACAAATAAATTTTATCACAACTGGATTGATTTTTTTTTTGAAGGTAATGGAACAGCACTTGGAGTCCTTAGAAAAAAAATAAGCGCTATTAAAATATTAAGTAGGCCATGTGATACAGTCCTCCTGAGACAGGACCACATGGTGTGGATTAAATGGCTGAATGCTCCTGCACATTAAAATCTTTCTCTGTGTGCAAAGCTAACATCTCAGTGAGCCTGAACAGTTCTCCATGATCTGTGAGTTTAGCATGTACACATGAAGATGCATGGAAAAACATCTCAACATTACATTTTTCACACACCTATGATGGCCCAATTCCAGGATAACTGTACCATGTACCCTGCTGAATAAATGAATTAGTTCAGTTCTCAGATTCTTTTTTCCTTTATAAAATCTGGCAACAAAAAGCATAAACTATAGTAATGGGAAAAAACACTATGTTTTACCCTGCTTCCAAATTCTAACTTCTTAAGCAGTAATGTTGACAGAATTCAGGTTGATGGACTAACTCTGTACCATAATAAACACCACAGATATTTAGCAGCCTAAATTTTGAAAGATAATTTTTCAGTCATGAAATGATCCTGTTTATAAATCCCAAGGAACTTGGAATATTAAGAACTAGTATGGAACTGTTCAGAACTAGTTCAGAAAGATTCAACATTATGGTTACAGTCTCTGTGTAATGAGATTCACTTTCAACTGGATTACAGAGTTGTCAGCAAAAGTTGTCACCATAGTTCCAGACTACTGAATGCCCTCCCAAGGGAGATTTATCTGGCACCAACGTTGATGACGTTTCAGCACCAGGTGAAAACCTTCCTGTTCCAGAAGGGTTTTTAATTGAAATAATATCAACTGGGCAATTTTTAGAGGATTGTATTTTAATTGTATTTTAAGTGTTTTTATCTTTTTATTGAAATCAAATTGTTGTAAGCTGCCCAGAGACCTTTGGGTAGTGTGGGCAGCATATAAATAAATAAATAAATAAATACACACAATCCTTCATTTGTACGTGGTGTTTCAAACCCAGGAGGAGGGTACCATATGACCTGCTGCTAAAAAGCAGCAGCAGCATAAACTGTAGTGCAAGATGTCAAGTTTCACTGTTCACTGACACTTGTAGATCCTAACTTCATAAATAGAGTGACTCTTATCATTTACTTCTAACACAATTTGCTATAATTTTCTATTCAATTTGAATAGGTAAAGGTAAAGGTTCTCCTTGACATTTAGTCCAGTCGTGTCTGACTCTAGGGTGTGGTGCTCATCCCCCGTCTCCAAGCCATAGAGCTAGTGCTTGTCCGTAGACAGTTTCTGCAGCCACGTGGCCAGCACGACTAGACACGGAACGCCGTTACCTACCCACCATGGTGGTACCTATTTATTGACTCACATTTACATGCTTTCAAACTGCTAGGTTGGCAGGAGCTGGGACAAGCAACGGGAGCTAACTCAGTTGTGTGGATTCGATCTTACAACTGCTGGTCTTCTGCCCTTGCAGCACAGAGGCTTCTGCGCTTTAACCCGCTGTACCACAACATCCATTTCAACTGGATTACAGGGTTGTTACTAAAAGTTGTTTGAATAGGTGGGGAATAAAAGAATGCACACTTCTATGGACTTTATTAGTTGCTCCTCCTCAGTATATAAAGAAGCAAACATGTTAACGTTCTGGAAGACTCACAGTAGCATCCATGTTTCTGAATTACTCTACCTAAGGCATGATGAAATACAAATCGACACAGTGGGGGGCAAGATGTTACCATCAATCTAATGATAGTACCCAAGTGTACTAAATATAAGTTTAAGACGAGAGGAATTAATCTGAGTGTCAGTATAAAGTTTTGGAGTTTAAAAGGTCAACTATTTCCCCATTGGACCAAATGCTTCATTTCATTTTTTCAGTTGTTGTTGAACTAAATCTCTCTGCACACTCCAGAGTTAGTTCGATAATCTTTTACACTGCTGTGCTTCAGCAAAAGGTACAATGTTAATGGCACTCCCTTCTTCATAGCAGGAATCAGGTCCACAGCAAAGCAAAATCTAAACAGCCCAGGAATATCAGTTCTCTAGTCTGGCTTTTCCTTTGTTCTTCTTTCTCTCTTACAAATATAGTCAAGATGATAACAGCATGGCTGAACACCAGAGTCAAAGCAGCTACAAGTACATGTAGTAAAGTTTCTTTAGAAAAGCAAGGAAAGACGGAAGAGGCTCTGGAAATTGTTTTGGTTTTCAATATTACTCAAAAAGAAAGCTGAATTCATAAAACCAGGCAAATAAGTATTTAAATAATCAGAAAAAGGCACAGAAATTGCAGGAGAAGGCCAAAGGCCTAGGAATCTGTTTAGCATGAGAAAACACTGTGTCCTGCTACAGTACAGCAAAGATCAAAGAACAGGTCTGCCTTGCCTACTGCATACAGGCAGCAATGTAAAAGTAAACCAATAATCTGTTCTTGCTCAAGAAATATAAATCAAGTGAGAATATATAAAGAAAGCAATGTAAAGCCAGCTTACCTGGTTGCGATCTCTCATTCCCACTGATGGCAACCAGAAACTAGAAATAAATGGCAAAATTGATTAAATTAGAGGAAGCATGAGAGAACTGGAAGAAAAAAGGAAGTAGGGAAAACAGGTGCAAAGACAAGAAAAGAGGATTAGACACAAGCATTCTGATGACAGGTTTAAGATAAAAGAACTAGTCTAAGTATCAATGGATGTGTTTGTGTGTTATGTGTGGTCAAGTCAAGAACTGACTTATAATGACCCTAACAGGACTTTGAAGGTAAGGGAAGCCACGTGACCTTTAAAAGTTACAGTGAAGCAGTGCTATCATATTTAAAAAAGTAAATTTGACCACAACTACCAACTCTAGAGTAGCCCTCTGAGATGAAGGTTTACGTGCCAGAAGAGAAATATTTCAGAAATATGTTTACAAGGAAATCAAATTAGTTACAACTATGACTGCCATCGCTCGCCACCATAGCCCAGCAACTCTGGTATTTTCAATTCTGAAGTATCTTTTATTGGGATACACTGGCTGTCAGCAATTTTGTAAATGTGTACCATGAAAGAACAATGAAGAAGATGCCAGTAAACAACACTGCAACAGCTATTTTTCAGGACAATGGAAGAGGCAAGGAAATGGAGAAAAGGAAACATATTACCCCCTTTTAAAGGTGCTGGTGCTCTGGAAAATGGGAAGGATTCCCTTCTGGAAGGCCCATAAGTTAAGAAGTTTCACTACAAGCCTCCCACTTCCCAGACACTCAAACTTCATTAGTAGCACATGCTTACTCTTTTTGGCAAGAATCACCAATGATGTGGCTAATCCTCTCAGTGCCCATAGCATTAATGATGGTCTCCTGAAACACAAAGGAGAAAGACTGAATCTGAAGCTACAAATGATAGTGGATGATCAATTTATTTAAATAAGACGCAGCTTCAACTGAATACAAATGAAAGGTTGGGCAGAATTCAAATTTTAAGAGGAAAAGTGCACGCAAGTGAGGAACGATCACCTCCCCCAACTTACCCCTTGTAGCAAAGGAGGCCAGCAAATCCACAACTAGAAACTGGACATTTTCTGCTCTCGCCTCTGTATTGTGGAGCAAGTTACCACTGGCAATTCACCAAGTAGCACCCTTTCTTATCTTCAGAAAGATGCTTAAAATTGAACTCTTCAAGACAGCTTTTAATAGTCTTACATCTGAAACCCCACATGCACTTGTCATAGCATTCACCATATTTTTCTAGGTTTAGGTGATTAGGATGCTAGTCTGGGGTTTAAAATTTAATTTAATTATCTTCATTTCAGCAGAGGACACTATGCCACTTGTTGCTTATTACTATGTTTGCTCATTTGTTGCTTATCATTATATTATATTGTAACTGGTTGTACTGCTCTGTTAGGAGGTTTTTCCTGATATCACATTATATTATATTATATTATATTATAATAAGAATGGTACATATCTTTCAGACCAAAGGCCAAATTCAAAGGTGGGACCAAAAATAAAAGTATCCTTTGGATTAAAGCACTTATGTCTATAAAGTTTAAGAGACGATTGCAACTCGTCAGAATGGGAAAACAAACACGTACAAAAGGTAATAAACTACAAAATGCCAGTTTTATGGGGAAGACAGGGTGCCCATCTTGGAGGGGAAAACAAACCTCAAGAGGGCCAATGTGGGGACCCAGAAAGGCCAGATTTGACTCCAGGGCCTAAGATTCTCCATCACTGCTGTGTAGTTTGAACTCATTTCACATTCACTCTAGAGTCTAGTAGTGGACTAAGTCTGGCTGGTAGAGCGTTCAAAAAGAAATCAGAATTTAGACATACGAGCCTTCCACCAATGCATGCTATCTAAGCTTCTGGTACTCCAAAAATAAGGCAGCACAGAGGTATGTGACACTTGCAAGTCCATGTCCACAGAGTACAGGATTATTTTCATTAACTTCTGGACTTCTGGAATTGTGGAATGCGGCTTCTGTAAGATGTTATGGTAACTCCCACGTTGACTTGAAAAGAACAACAGAATGTATACTGCCTCTTCCTATACAATCTCTCTCTTTAATTTTTCTGATTTATATGGTGGAATTATCCAGAAAGGCCAAAATATTACTTAGCTATCTACCCTACCTGCTTGTTTATTTTTATTTATTTATTTCATTTCTATCCCGCCTATCTGGTCAGATTCGACCACTCTAGGCGGCTTACAATCAGCAACAGTAAATATTAAAAACATTACAAATAAACGAAGATAAAGATCATAAGAGTATAGAAGGAAAGAATCGTCAGGAATTAACTGTTGGGATTAACTGTTGGGAAGGCCTGCTTATACATGAGTGTTTTTAGTTGTTTCTTAAAAGTGCCCAGCGAGGGGGGCACACGAATCTCAGGAGGTAAGTTGTTCCATAGGCGAGGAGCCACCGCTGAGAAGGCCCGATTTCTGGTCTTTTCCTTCCGGGCCTCTCTCGGCGTTAGGCTCCTCAGCCTCACCTCCGGGCTCGCGCGAGGGACACGGGTAGATCTTGGTGGGAGAAGGCGGTCCGCTAGATATTGAGGGCCTAAACCGTTTAGGGCTTTATAAGTAAGCATCAATACTTTGAAGTCGATGCGGAATTGGATGGGCAGCCAATGCAATGCGGCCAGAGGGGGGGAGATATGTTGGTATCTTCTCACTCCACTGAGTAGTCTGGCCGCAGCATTCTGCACCACCTGAAGTTTCCGCAGCAGCCTCAAAGGTAGCCCCTTGTTAAAGCCAGCAGGCTCAGCATGGTCAACAGAACATGAAAGTCAAAACAGATTTCCTTTAAATACTACTTGGAATTAACTAAGAACAGGAAAACTTATTCCTAGACAAAATCCAAAACATTTATCTCAACAATTGAAAACGTGGACTGCAATCAATCCTATATATCTGGGAGTAAATTCTATTGAATTCAACAGGGCTTACCTCTGAGTAAGCGTGTACAGAACTGCAATGTTATAAAGTAAAGAAGGTTACAGGCCCTCTTGCAACATGTTGAATCAGTTTCTGTCTTTGCTAGAAAGCAAATTACTGTTCATACAACCTCTGTTTATTCTTTATATTTAATATGGTGCTGTCCTTGAGCCAAGTATAGTCATGCTGTCAGTATCTAGCAGCCTTTTTTTCTTAACTTCAGAGAGGCTGTATACCTGAACAGGAGAGTGGGAGCAAGGGCAGTCAACGTTCTCCCTTTGTTTTCAGCTAAAAGCAAACCTATAAACAACCTACTTAATGTTTTGGCATGGCTTATCGAAGTTACCAACATGAATTTGACCCAACTCTGGGAGGCAGTGGAAGACAGGAGAGCCCCACGTGCTCTGGTCCATAGAGTCATGAAGAGTCAGACACGGCTTAACGACTAAAAACAATGGCTTATTCACATTCTTACTGAAAATAATAGCAAATTACTTGATCGATGCCACATTTACGGTTGAACTACACAACAACGACATGCAGCCTCTTATTAAACTATGTCAACATTCCTCATCTATTGTACTGTATTTTTCCATGTGTACAACTCCCCAATATAGACAACCCCCTAATTTAGCCCCTTGCTGGAGGTGAGGAGCAGTCAATGGGCAGCTGCGAGGGGCAGCCCAGCGCTGCTGCTCCTCCGCCTCCTGCTGCTGCCGTCTCAGCCACTCAATCGCCTCCTCCAGTGCAACTGCCAGGGCTCACCTCCAGCTCAAGTTGCCGTCTTGTCCCCTGCCCAAAGGGAGCCTGTGAGTGGTACTGGAGGAGGCAATTGGGACGGCAGCAGCAGTCAATGGGCAGCAACAAGAGGTGGCCGAGCGCAGCTGTTCCTTTGCCTCTGTCTCCACCTCCTACTGCTGCTGCTGCCTCTGTCACCAGATCGCCACCTTCAGTGCCACTCACGGGCTCCCTCCAGGCAGGGAACAAGGTGGTGACATGAGCTGTAGGTGAGCCCTTGCAGTCGCACTGGAGGAGGCGATCAGACGGCGGTGGCAATCAATAGGCAGCCACGAGAAGCAGTCTAGCACGGCTGCTCCTTTGCCTCCGCCTCCTTCCATGTACAAACCAACCCTCAATTTTTCCTCTAATCATTTTAGGAAAAAGTGTAGTTTTAGTCAAAGAAAAATGTAGTAATTTAACAGCAGTTCTAACCCTTCCTCGTCCTGCTACAATTCCAGTGACCCCCAGCTCACTACTGTATAACAATTAGCCTTGAAAAAGAGATCCTACACCAGTTTGGTCTATATAAAATTCATTAGAAGGAGGAATATAAGGATATTTTTTTAAATGATCTTTTATTTAATGACATTTCACCAGCTGTCTAGATTAACGAGAAACCCTGGACTATCCGTGCTAAAAGGAAAGGTCCCATGTGGAAAACTGCAAACTCAATCTTTATTTTTTTACGTCCACCCCACTGAAGGTCCAAGCATAAGAAATCTAATGACTCACTCATATCAGTCCTTTTATCTGCAAAATAACCCCAAACAATTAATCATCTCGAGCATCTTGCAGCTATTTCTGGTATAATTTTGTGTGACTTTGGGCAGGTTCTGCTAACTCATTAGCCACTCTTTCACTTGAATAGACCAGAGAAGGCTAGGATACCTGAGACAGAAAGACATGGCACATTCCTAGGGAAAAAAAAAACCCAGTGTTTCAAAATTAAGCTCAATGTATTACAGTATGTATTGCTACATATATGTGTGGGGCTCTGCACCAATTGCAACACAGAACAGATTTCCACAATACTGACAACAGAATTTGATCACAGGAACATCGGTGGGCTTCTGCCAAGGAATCCAGAACACTCTCCGAGACAAGGTTTGTAGGAAAGCAGCAGGGGTGAGAGATGGGCTATTTGTTACACCAGATAAATTATTAACTTAAAATGCCATAATGTTTAAATTTACCGTTTATTACTGTGTAAATTACAAGCTGTACTTTGGGTAATTAGCAGCTCGCTGGCGGGGAGCTTTGAACGAAACTCATTATTTATTATTACAATTTAGAAGAGGGAGGTGAGGGGAAACAGTGACCTCCATTGCAAATGACATAGATCCCTTTAAGGTGATGAAGATGAATTAAACAAGTAAATATTATTCTTCTCATTTTGGTTCATTAGAGGCACTTCCAAAATGCGTGCAGCCCTGGGCCCTTACCAATGGCTTCGCAGCTCATGCCCAAGACACTACTGACCTTAAATTAAGCGATATTTCAAGTTTTTAAATCAGCAAGAGAAGGAGAACTAAGGGGTGTAAAGGATCTAACAAAGACAGAGAAGACAAGAAAAAATGCCATTCTCCCTGCACCACATTGCTTAAATGGTTGTGAAGATTCCCAAAATTGTAGAGTTGGAGGAGACACCAGAGAGAGCCAAACGTTTGCCAAACGTCTGATTCTATGAATGACTGTTCAAATGTACCAACAACTTTTTTGTAGGAGAAATTTGTTGCCCTAATGCAACCCTTGCAGAAACTGTCAGGGACACGCAAGCTTGCAACAGAGGCTCCAAGAGTGCTATGTAGAGCTGCTCACTTCTACTCAAATAAGATTTGCTTTTTTTTAATGAGGTTCATGTGAGCAAAATACGTCTCACAAACTTTCCTGCAGTCTATCCTTTCCCTCATATTTCCTTATTAAGGCTTAGAAAGCAGAGCGGATAAAAATTGATTTTTTTTATTTCAAAAAATTGAATTGATTTAAATCACAATTTAGATAAAGAAAATTATTTTTAAAAATTCAAATCATCAAAAAAATCTGAGTTTTAAAACATTAAATCCACCTTGTTGGAAAACCAAGATTTCAGAACTCCAACTTCACTGAATAAAAATACACCAAAAGAGACAAGAAAACCTAAAACTCATGCGCTGAAGTCGACAACCATATCTTTCAGCATTTCAATGCAATGCAGCAATAACTCCTTCACTACATCAGTGGTATCCCAAGTTTTACAGGGGCTTATTCCATCCTCCAACAAAAGTCCGAATAGTCAAAGCTATGGTTTTTCCTGTAGTGATGTATGGAAGTGAGAGCTGGACCATAAAGAAAGCAGACCACCAAAGAATTGATGCTTTTGAACTGTGGTGCTGGAGGAGGCTCTTGAGAGTCCCCTGGACTGCAAAGAGAACAAACCTATCCATTCTAAAGGAAATCAAACCAGAGTGCTCACTGGAAGGACAGATCCTGAAGCTGAGGCTCCAGTACTTTGGCCATCTCATGAGAAGACTCCTTGGAAAAGACCCTGATGTTGGGAAAGTGTGACGGTAAGAGGAGAAGGGGACAACAGAGGATGAAATGCCTGGACAGTGTTATCGAAGCAACCAAGATGAATTTGACACAACTCTGGGAGGCAGTGGAAGATAGGAGGGCCTGGCGTGCTCTGGTCCATGGGGTCACAAAGAGTCGGACACGACTAAACGACTAGATGACGATTCCATCCTCCATACTAAGTAATGGTAATGCTTTCCTCAATCTTGGGATGCCCTTTCTTTTACCAAAAGCATTGGGCTTCAGCACCCTCTTATACTCGGCTAACCTCTTTTGTCTGTTGTTATATTGTTATGCTGTCAAGCTGCATCTGACTTATAGTAATGCTGACAGAGTTTTCAAGTATGAGAGTGGTTTCATCAGCATCACCTCCCAGTGAGTTCCCATGGCCAAGTGGAAATTTCAGTCCAGGTCCCAGCTATTAATTTCATCCACTACAGTACACTGACTCCCCCCACCATCTTATTGTACTTTTCAATAAAATGTTTTGTCTGATGACACCCACCACCAGCAAATTAGCTTTACCATGACTAGTTGCATATACATAGCTGAAGAGTTTTTACAGGAGCTAACAGTCAAACCATAGTTAAATGAATGATCTACAGCAGGTGTGCTTCTTGCAGTTACAGACCAAATCACAACCCTTTAAAAAGAAATACCTTGCTAACCAGTCTCCTACGGCCCTTCCTGAGGCAGCGAGGAGCAACACTGGGAAGGCGGTTCAAGCGGGCATGAAATCCTGAAGAAGAAAAAAGGAGAACATTGAAGACAGAAGAATGAGAGAGACCATAAAACACAGCATGGTAGAATATATAAGAAGAATCTATACTGCATTCCAACAACCAAGTTTACTTATTTTACTTATTATATTTTGTGGAGCTCGGGCATCTTGCTGAACTCTCCAGTAGCCTTTCAGAGAGAGAAATGAAATACTGTAACTTTATCTAACTTATATAAACAATGGTTGAAGACTGTGGGCAGCACAAGACCAGAAGACATTGTGTTACATCATTTTCTTCTGACAAGAAGTATTGTAACCTTTAACAGTTTTTAATGTACCATATTTTCCCATATATAAGACAATACTTTTGTCTAAAATCTTTAAATTAAAAATTGAGACCCATCTTATATAGGGAAGTAAGGAGGGGGTAGGGATCAAGGCACTTTGATTCCTGCTTTCCCCCTCCACTTTCTTGCAAAGGAACTGGAGGGGGAAAGCACTTTCCTTGCAAGGCAATGGAGGGGAAAAGCAGGAATTTGCAAAGCGGAAGTGCTTTCCCCCTCCACTTTCTTGCAAAGGAACTGGAGGGGGAAAGCACTTTCCTTGCAAGGCAATGGAGGGGAAAAGCAGGAATTTGCAAAGCGGAAGTGCTTTCCCCCTCCACTTTCTTGCAAAGGAACTGGAGGGGGAAAGCACTTTCCTTGCAAGGCAATGAAGGGGAAAAACAGGAATTTGCAAAGCGGAAGTGCTTTCCCCCTCCACTTTCTTGCAAAGGAACTGGAGGTGGAAAGCACTTTCTTCTCAAGAAAGTGGAGGGGAAAAGAAGGAATCAAAATGCTTTGATACCTGCCATCCCCTCCCCCTTTTCTTGCAAAGGAACTGGAGGGGGAAAGCACTTTCCTTGCAAGGCAATGAAGGGGAAAAACAGGAATTTGCAAAGCGGAAGTGCTTTCCCACTCCACTTTCTTGCAAAGGAACTGGAGGTGGAAAGCACTTTCTTCTCAAGAAAGTGGAGGGGAAAAGAAGGAATCAAAATGCTTTGATACCTGCCATCCCCCTCCCCTTTTTTTGCAAAGAAAGAAATTTTGGATTAGAAAAGTGGGGAGTGCCTTATACACAGAAAAATATGGTGCATATGTCATGTGAATAGTAGCTTTACATTAAGAAAACTGAGAGCTAACTTTCTCTTGCAAACTCATCAATATAAATTCAGCAAAATCCCACACAATCATTAAGGTTTTGAACTACAAAAACAAGTTCCAAAATATCCATAAGGACCCTAACCTCTTGTAGCAGGCCGGGAAGGCAGAAGAAATGTTGGGTCTGAGATTTTCTCAAGGCCAGAATCCATGCGTTCCATGTCAGACTGATGGTCTGTTCCCCACTTGGGCAGGAGGTTAGGGACTGTGAATCCTGAAACACATTCTCCCTCGTAGAACCAATCACTCTGCTCATCATCACCTAAGAGAAAAGGGGGGTGGGTGGGAGTTCAAATACCTAAATATATCCTATTGCTACAGCCCCTGAGCACACATTGAAATCTGTTACCATGTAAACACTATCACATTATGCCTTAGTGATAACACTGAAATAAACTGTGTTTATTTAGGAGCTTTGTAGCACAATGGCTAAACTGCAGTACTGCAGTTTGCCACCTCCCCCAGATTGATGTGAGTAGCTTTATGGTGGCAGGGAATAAACTGGACATCTCTTATCTCACTGCTGCTGCTAATGTTTCTGCTATCCGTGAAATTCAGCCACAATTGCAGCACCTCTCTGTGATGCAGAAATGTGCCAAAGACATAGAGTCCATCAGCCTGCAGGGGAAAATGTTTCCTTCCTGTCACTAAGAAAAAGAAAGCTTTTTTTTTTAGTTTTGGTATTTGTTAGGGAGGAGAAATTTCAGCAGTAATTTTGATGGCAGCAGCTAATGATAGTAGTAGGGGCCAGAATAAATAATCAGTAGGTCTTCATGCAGCCTGTAGGTTGCATGTTTCCCAACCTGTCTTATTCAATCAGATCAATTATACTGCTATGACTAAACTCCCAGTTTAAGCCAGCCTTTTATCAATGGATGAATGCAACTACATCAAACACCAAATGTAGCTAGGCATCATCCACAGAAAAAGGATGCAGGTCAATGAGAATTTATACAGTGTCCAATTCATGTCTGTCAACAACAGCCACCCCTGAATCAAATCCAGTTCAAGATGCTCCAGCCAGGAAAAAAAATCAGGGATAATTTATTTCTTCCAATTCCACCTCCCTCTGCGGTCCACAGCATTACTTTCTGTGCTGTTCTAAAGGATTCCCCAACCATCTGGAACAGATTTTTAGGAAGAAAAAGGGCATGCAGTAAGAGAGGAAAATTGGGGGGAAATGACAAATCAAAATGTTCCATGAAATTAAAAGCCTTTCAAGGATAGAAGTCTTTCTCACTGCAAGAGGCAAGTTCCAGAATCACCATTCTTCAATGAGAACTTTTCAGAATTCACAGATTTCTTCATATATGTTACATGAAGGTCTTGACCTTTTAAACAATTCAGGCGTATGAAAATGTGGAACTGACAGATTTGCCTGTTTACGCAGAAGACACTGAGTGTTTTATTTCTTAGAATTCTGGGCGTGAATTTTGTGTATCTAGCCATATCTGTTGTACTAAGCTAGAGTTGCCACCTCTTTTTTCTGATTGGTTATTTATCCTGAACAGTGAGTGGCACAGCAGGAAGATACACCATGACCTTCTCCATACTAGGAACAGAGAGATCTAGAAAATGTGGCCAGTGGTTGACAAGGATAAGCCTAGGATTAAAACAATGTGTGTGTGTGTGTGTGTGTGTCTGTGTGTGTGTCTGTGTCTGTCTGTCTGTGTGTGTGTCTGTGTGTGTGTGTGTATGTGTGTGTGTGTGTGTGTGTGTGTTGAACAGAGCAGGCCTTAATTTTGACTAAACATGCATATGATATCACTTAGGAAATGGCACTGAGGGTTGCACAGAGAGAGAGAGGAAACTGGCACATTTCTCTATCCCTAAATCCAAGCAATTAAATATAATGGTACAAAAAAATTGATTGTCAAAGCTAAGGACCCTGACTGTTTTAAACAGGTTACAAAAGATTAGATAATTTAGCTATATAAAACATCACATATCTAGGAATTAAAACTGTTTTGACAGTAAAAGAGAAAGGATTCATTCCTTAAATCTGAAAAATAATCTGAGCTCACTGACTTTTCTTTTGAATTTTATATATTTAATATATATAGGTTACTTGATTTTTTTAAAAAATACATGGTGCATTTTGCATCTGTGCATTTTTCCCCAATAATGTTCAAAAACTATTTCCCTCTTTTTCACCACAGAAACATAAACTTAAAAAAAATCAGAGGATCAGATGCTACGATTACCTTGGCGACCTTCATCATTGGTGAAAAGACCAGTGTCACTGCTGCTGCACACACTGCTGGTTTCACTGAAAAGAGAATACAGTGAATTAATCCACCTGTATTTATAACTATTTCCCGAAACTCATCATTGTAACCAAGGACCCATCATTCCCTAGCACTTGCTGATTCAGCAAACCATAAGAGTGTTACTTTATTCACTTTTATGCTCAAGATACCAGCAGGCACTAAAAGGAGCAATACTTAGATGATTCAATTTTTTTAAAAAAATACATGGTGCATTTTGCATCTGTGCATTTTCCCCCAATAATGTTCAAAAACTACTTCCCTCTTTTTCACCACAGAAACATAAACTTTAAAAAAAATCAGAGGATCAGATGCTACGATTACCTTGGCGACCTTCATCATTGGTGAAAAGACCAGTGTCACTGCTGCTGCACACACTGCTGGTTTCACTGAAAAGAGAATACAGTGAATTAACCCACCTGTATTTATAACTATTTCCCGAAACTCATCATTGTAACCAAGGACCCATCATTCCCTAGAACTTGCTGATTCAGCAAACCATAAGAGTTACTTTATTCACTTTTATGCTCAAGATACCAGCAGGCACTAAAAGGGGCAATACTTAGATGATTCACCAAGTTAAACGAATAACACATATGAAAAGCAGGATGGGCAGAAAGTAGGTCCAACTCTTTAAATGATTTGCGTCAGACTGGCAAGGTTTTCAAAGTCTCAAGTCAATGACAATTTTTGCAAATGGAGCCTCGATCTATGAACAGAAAAAGGCAGGGGAAAAGGACGGGAAATTCAGATTTCCTGCCCTTTTGCCCTGCCTTTTTGCCTTCAGAAGTTGAGGCTCCGTTCGCAAGTTGATGCCAATTTTTGCGAACGGAGCAATCGGCGCCTACGGAGGTCTTACAGAGCTTCCACCACTACTCTGAGGCACTATTTCATATTTTTCTAACAGGGTTAGAATGGGAAAGACGTTGATGTATGGCTGACTTAGCACATGCATGCCCTTTCTATTGCGTGTTTTTGGGGCAGCCAAAATATTTTTTACATATTAATCTAGGTACCATGAAAATGAATGGAGAGATCAATGACTGAGCTGAAGGAACTCAAAGGCAATGGTTCTGAATTGTGTTGGGACTTGGTAAGTGATAGTGGGACCTCGACTTACGAACGTCCCTACATACAAACTTTTTGATTTACGAACGGCTCCGTTCGCAAAAATTGGCATTGACTTGCAAACGGAGTCTCGACCTACGGACAAGGTCAAGGCTCCATTCGCAAGTTAATGCCATTTTTTTGCGAATGGAGCAATCGGCGCCTACGGAGGTCTTACAGAGCTTCCACCAATGTTGGGGGGAAAGCCCTTTGAGATCTCTGGAGGCAAAAAGGCAGGGGGAAAGGGCAGGAAATTCTAATTTCCAGCCCCTTTCCCCTGCCTTTTTGCCTTTTTTCTTCCCTTGGAACGCATTGATCAGTTTTCAATGCATTCCTATGGGAGATGGTGCTTCAACTTAAGAACGTTTCGACTTAAGAACGCAGTCCCAATACGGATTAAGTTCTTAAGATGAGGTACCACTGTAATGACACTTGCAACCAGTTAATATGGAGAAAAGTTGACTCAACCTTTGTGTTGTGTGTTACACTGAGCATGGAGAAAAGAATGAAGTGTAAAGACTTGTCTGTGGATTTGAGAGAAAAAATTGTGGAAAAACATCGACAATCTCAAGGCTACAAATCCATCTCCTGAGATCTTAATGTTCCTGTGTCTACTGTGTGCAATATCATCAAGAGGTTTACATCCCATGGCACTATAGCTAACTTCCCCTGACGTAGACAGAAGAGCAAAATTACTGAAAAATTACAACGAAGGGTTGTTTGAACGGTGGATAAAGAACCCAGATTAACTTCCCAACAAGGTCAAGCCGATCTGCAGAAACAGGGTACCACAGTGTAAGCTCGCACTATCCGTCGCCATCTGAATGAAGAGGGATACTATGTAGGAGACCCAGGAGCCCACCACTGCTGACACAAAGGCATAAAAAAGCAAGACTGGAGTATGCCAAAACATATGCGACAAAACCACAATCCTTCTGGGAGAACGTAATGTGGACAGATAAGACAAAAGTAGAGCTTTTTGATAAAGGATATCGTGGCACTTTGAAAGGAGGCATTCAAAGAAAAGAACACAGTCCCTACAGTCAAACGTGGTGGAGGTTCAAAGATGTTTTGAGGTTGCTTTGCTACTTCTGGCACTGGATGCCTGGACTGTGTGAACGGTATTATGAAATCTGATGATTATCAAAGAATTTTGGGACACAAAGTAGTGGCCAGTGTCAGAAAGCTGCATCTCCACCAGAGGTCATGGGTCTTCCAGCAGAACAATGACCCAAAACACACTTCAAAAAGCACTCAGAAATGGTAACAAACAAAACGTTGGAGAGTTCTGAAATGGCTAGCAATGAGTCCAAATTTGAATCCCACAGAACACCTGTGGAGAGATCTCAAAACAGCAGTTGGGAGAAGGCATCCTTCAAATCTGAAGGCCCTGGAGCAGTTTGCAAAAGAAGAGTGGCCCAAAATTCCAATAGAGAGGTGTAAGAAACTCATTCATAGTTACAGGAAGCTATTGATCTGTTATTTTTTCCAAAGAGGGTGCTATTAAGTTAAGGGTGCCAATAATTTTGGCTAGTGCATTTTTGGGTTTCTGTGTGGGATTGTATCAGATTTGACTTTTCTTCTCTCTTTTTTTGTGTTGTTCCAACGTAAACCAAAGAAATGAACATGTGAGTACCAAAACATTTGCAACTGCAACAATTTTCTGAGAGAAGGGTTGCATTTTCTGACAGAATTGCAAGGGTGCCAATATTTTTGGCCATGACTGTATATAAAATGCACTTAGGAACAGAATCGCTTTCCCTCATGCTGCTTATTTATATATTTATTTTTCTAACATATGTTGCCCTTTCTGTAAAAAATCAGAGAGGTTAGTCATCACAAATGATAAATAAATGTGATATAACAAAAGTAAAAAAAAAAAAAGGCAGCGTTTATGAAAGAATAAAAATATCAGAATCCATATATGAAGCTACAATAACATTTACATCGCACAAGGGGGTGGGGTGGGGGTTTGACCTGGCAAATATATATTCTTTGACCAATGTCAGAAAAAAACATCAGAGAATGGTCCATGAAAGCTATGCTAGGAAGGGCATGTCAAAAACAGCACGTGGCTGCTTTAAAGCATTCTGTTGTCTACTTAATATGTGGGGGAGGAGAGAAGCATGTCCTGTAATTAACCCCACTGATTTTGGTCAGTTTTATATGAAATATGAAAATATTTCATATATTTTATATATGAAATATAAAACTGCCTCTGTTACAACCAGTGCCAGCTTTTTGGGATGAACACAATATTTGAGCACTTCATGAGAAGGCATGATTCCATGAAAAAGACAATAATGCTGGGAAAGGCTGAAGGTAAAAGAAGAGGAAGACCAAATACAAGATGAATTGACTCCCTAAAGGAGGCTTGAGTTTATGAGTTGAGAACAGGACATTTTAGAGATTGCTCACTGACAGGTTCAGTGTAAGTTGGAGGTGACATGACAGTGTATAACAGCAGCAAATGATAGGTCTTCTTAAATTAGCAGCTCACAGCTATTTACTTTCTAAAAAGTCGACCACAGCAATTCCAAGTGTTGCAAAACACAAGGCATGGAAAATATAGCTATTTGGCATTGTACAGCTGTGGAAGAATGAACAAACAAGGGATATGTCCATAGAAAAACAACTGTACAGAATGTAAATATAGTCCCTACCCGTATAATCAGCAATTTGTTAAAGGAGAATTAAAGTATGAAGAAAATGAACACAGCTGATTGGCTGTTTGCAGGGAGAAATGAGTGATGACTTGAGACATAATTCACAAGAGGCAACATTACAGAATATCTCAACCTTGCAGTCATTTCATCCTTCTTACTAATGAAACTGTATTTTAACCAAAAGCCTAATATTAGATTAGTTAATTAGAATGAAGGGACACCACTGACATAATCTGATAGGCAATTTTCTAAACTAACCTTTCCTTTGGTGAACTATGGAAAGAAGAATGAAACATTATAAAGCATGCTGCTTAATGTGAGAATGTATTTATACTCATCATCTTGCCCACTTATCAATAATTTTACTGTCTCTTAATTACACAGGAATGCCAGTCAATTTCAGTTTCTGTGCAGTATTCCAGATCTCCTCTGAATACTCCATAGCCATTCACAATACTTCATGTAAATACTTGCTAGCATCCCAATCATTCTAATAATGTTTCCTTGCTAACTACTCCGCTCTGTTTCATCTTCATACTGTTATCTTGCAAAACACTTTTAAAAAGTAAAAACAATTAGAAGCCACAGTTTCTTCTTAACATCAAATGGTACAGCATGCCACAATAAGATGTGACAAGCTCAGCATGAGACTGCTGATCACAAATTCTGGCCATTTGTAATTAATAAACATAGCCTAAATTTTGTGAACCAAGTCCACACACACACAATCTAGACATTTTACCAAAGAAAACTGGGTGACTTTATTTGCAAACCTGCCCACTTAGTCATGAAAGTCATCAGACTGTTTCAGTTAGTCAATCTCACATACTGGCAAAGAAAAGAAAAAAATAGGCAAAGCCTTGCACTTCAAAGACAGTATTATTTTAGTGTCTCCAATTGTCTACTGCATTAAAAGACTGAAATTTGGCAAAGCTTTACATATGGAATTATCTTTTACTGCTGTTTTGGAGTCATTAGCCTAGCAATTCAGCTGGAAAGGAATACGCATTTATTAAATGGGTGTTTGCAGAGGTGGAGGCATTTCTAGTCCATGGTTTGTTTGCAGAGGTGGAGGCATTTCTAGTCCACGGTTTCTAACCTTGGGTCCCCAGGTGTTCTTGGACTACAACTTTCATGGGTCCCCAGGTGTCCTTGGACTACAACTTTCAGAAATACTGAAAGCACAGCCAGTGGTGAAGGCTTCTGGGAGTTTTAGTCCAAGAACATCTGGGGGCTCAAGGCTGGAGATCAGCGTCCTAGACTAAATCTTGGGAGAGTACAAATAATGGCCATTAGCTAAACTAGCCCACTAGGAACAAAAAAATCCCAGCGTTAAAAAACAACAAAGGTAAAAACAGTCACTTCAAGAATTTCTTATGCCACTGTCTAAGAGAATAGGAAAATTATGTAGTTCTCTATCTTTTATCAATTCCACAGATTTTGTCTGCTTGGCATAATTTAGTAAGCCTATAATATGAAATGCATGTGGATCTCAAAAGAGCATGAACTGAAGACATCCCAAGCTCTACAAAGTGTGAGGATCTCCAGGATGTTTTATGTAGTTTCCGTACAGAAGATGCCGGAAATTCCATTATAAACAAATTATTGCAACTCTCTCTGTCTCAACTTCAAACTGCCATTTTCCAAAATAAGAAAATAAAGGGATCTCTTCTCTGCTACATCTTCAAGAAATATAAACATGCAACACAATAGGAAACATAATGTTTATATCAACACAATATCACTAGCTGATGTAAACATACATAAACATAAAAGCAACATCAGAGAGCGCATCACATTACCAGATCTATCACAGTCCAGTATAATCCTCTTGCTACAGCCTCCTGTTTGCACCGGCTGTCAGAAGCCAGTGTCATGATGGCTATCTTATATTTTCCTTTGCAGTTTTATTTAGAGTTTTCTTTTAGAAGTACCAAAGACTATCCTATTATCCCAAGACATAGTAGTGGAACAAATCTATATGAGTAAGTTCCACAGACCACCATTCTACAAAACCATAGGAAGTTTTCTCTTTCCAATTCCAGCTCAGAAGCTTAAGGAAAGGAACCCTATTTCCTATACACTGCACATACAAGAAAGCATGCTAGCCTTTAATATAGGCCATGCAGCCCAGTAAGCACTGATTAATGACCTCCAGTTACAATAGAGGCTACTTACCTTAACCACAAAATAATGAATGCTATTGATCCAACAAGCTACCACTATAGAATGTTATTGATCACCCTATCTTTGGCTAAAATGGCCCTCATTTAGCAACTGCACTGTTACAAACACCTGGAGCAAAGCATGCCTATAATTAAATAGTTTGGAAGAGTTAAAGTGAGAGGTGATGGACAGATCTCAGATCTCCCCCATTTAGTTCTGCTCCTGAGCTATTGTTTGTGTCAGGAGCAGTATTGATTTTCTATAAAAATAAGAAAACAAGAGGCACAGAGGAGGTGCAGAAGGTCAGGCTGGGCTGAAGAAGGAGGGGGAAGCTGAACACTCTGTCTCTGTCACTTGCCTTCTAGGAGGGTGTTTTTTTTCCTCCCTGGAATGCAACATGGAGTCTATCAACTGAGTGAAGCTCTCTAATGGCACTTCAGACTATCACCAAATATACCCAACAACAAAGGAAAGAGAAGTGACCTACAAGGATGGAAATAAGTGGGTAGTTTGATTGCCTAGCATTCAACAAGCTATGGCACGCATCCACTAACAGAGAAATTCAACATGGTACTCCAGCTATAATGAAGCTCTGTAATCTCATTAGCTGCACTCAAAGAAAACGGATCAACAAGTACTTCAAGCAAACAAAATTACATTAACCAAGTAGTAAATAGACAATTTTACGTGCTCCTGGGAACAAAAGAATTCAGAGACAATATAGTATTGTACAGTGCAGTGGTTCCCAACCTTGGGTAATCTAGGTGTTCTTGGACTGCAACTCCCAGAAACTCCAGCCAGCACAGCTAGTGGTAAAGACTTCTGGGAATTGAAGCCCAAGAACACCTGAGTTACCTAAGGATGTGAACCACTGAGTTACTCTCTCTCCTTTTGACTTGATTCTGTTCCTCTGCACATCTCATTCAAGTCCAAGAATACCTGGGATACACAAGTTTGGGAAGCATCGGTATAGGGGACAGAGTGTCAAACTAAGACCTAGGAGCCAGTTCAAACCCTTGCTCAGCCATAAAAAATTAAAGGGAGATGGCAATAGTAAACTACTCCTTGAACATCTCATATACCTTAAAAATCCTAAGGTCACCATAAGTAGGAAACAAATTGAAAGCACATGATATCAATGAACACCAGCTGGCTATAATTCTATTGCTGTCACCTCCAAAACAGGCAGACTTACACAGTCCACCAGAAGCAGAGAGATTTTAGACAGCATAATGCTTAGGCTAAGATGCTGAAGCACACTTGGGAGATAACATACTGCTGGAGAAGAGCTTTATGGATACCATGAAATGCCAGAATAACTAATAAGTGGGTGCTAGATAAAATCAAGCCTGAATACTATCTAGAAACCAAACTGTGGCTATCATACTTTAGGCATATTGTGAAGACACAAGACTCACTGGAAAAGAAATAAATGCTACAAAAAGTTGAAAGCAGCAGGAAAAGAGAAAGACAAACTATGACACAGACTGACTGAATTTTAAAAAAACTATCCATAGCCTTAGGTTTTCTAGACCTGAGCACTGCTATTAATAGTGGAATGCATAGGCTCACCATAAGTTGGAAACAATTTGATAGCACATAGCATGTGTCATTACAAATGCAAAACATTCAAGGTTTTATTTGCAAAGCTTTCAACTGCTGTACTGCAGCCAAAATTGTGTTCATGACCTGGCGTTCGATCCCAGGTAGCTAGCTCAAGGTGGACTCAGCCTTCTGTCCTTCCGAGGTTGGTAAAATGAGTACCCAGCTCGCGGGAACGGAGGGGGGGGGAATGTGTAGCCTGCATAGTTAACTTGTAAACCACTCAGAGTGCGCTTTAAGCACTATGGGGTGGTATATAAGCAGTACACTTTAAAATTACTGCATTTCTACATTATTTTAGGCAACCACCCATTCTTAGAAGAATGCCCACTAACTCCTCATATATCGTCCAAAGAACCCTGTAGAATAAAACCTTACTACATCTCAGGGGTGGCAGCTGATCCAAATATGAATGACATATACAAATGGCCAGATCTACACATTCTGTGAGCAGAACTCTACTCACAGGAGCTCCTGGTGAAGAAATGAGGGCATCCCCCCCATTTTCTCCACTTTTATGCTCTGCAAATTTCGATAAAAGGGTTGAAACAGCATGGGAGGTGATGCAATGGGCACTGCTAAAAACCACTTCTTTTGTTCCTGTTGGACCATAGTCCTTTCTGTAAATGGAAGAGGCCTTTTCATCTGCAAATGGCAAGTCTGGATCCAATCCTAATAATTAACTTTTTTATAGATGCAAAGATTTGTCCCACGCTTGGAAACACTTGTCACTCTCTGCCCACTTCCTGTTAATATCTTGCTTAAACTGTAGTGTCCAGAACTGGACAGGGTGGCCTAAGAGAGTCCTGACCAAAATAACAGAGAATGAAATTATCCCCCCCCCCCAATGATCTGGACACTGTTCTTCTGTTGGTGCCACCTATTATTGCATTTGCTTTTTTCTCCTGCTACATCACACCACTGGCTCAAGTTTACCTTGTGGTCTAATCTTTTTTGCAATTTTTTGCATATCTTTTTTGAATATCTGTCAATCATCCATCACCCTACTTACAGTTGTAGATCTAATTTCTTCTGTCTCAATGTAGAACTTTACAGACCCAATCCAATGACTTATTAATGTAACTAAGGAACTTACAATAAATAGTTACTGGAAAATCCATCAGAATACATACAGGCAAGACTTAAAACCACTTTTTATCAATGTAAATGTTTAAAAATCAGCAAAACACCTCTGAAGTAACATAGTCACAATCTTCCTTCTGCATGCCAATAAAGGTGAAGCTAAGCAAACTTCTTCAGGCATGGAATGCCACTGGGGCACAACTACCAAGACAGCATTAAACCTTATAGCCACAGCTTCAATAGCTGTAAAAAAGGGGAGGCATATTGCTGGACAAGTATAATCCTTTCCAAACGTAGTCCTAATGGAGCTTTGTTTATTTATTCCCAATACCCCTCAGAATCATCAGAGTACTTAGACCTTACAAGAGAGGTGGTTGGGTAGCAATAAGATATAGCTGACTCCGATTCAGATGCCCTGCCTTGTGTCCCACCAGATGCAAAGGAGGAGGTGAAATAAATGTAGAAAAAACTAAGAACTTGCACTTCTAAAGAAGTTTCTAGATAACCAGGTTCTGCTTCAATCTAAGGAATAATAAATTTGTTCACACCTCTCAGAGAAACAGAGAATCTTTACTAGCAAGGCCATGTTGGCAGGCAAGAGTGAAAAGTAAGCAACACCATGTCCTTTTCTTCATCTTTCTGCCACTGCCTTTTTTCTCTCTCTTTTCCCATCTAATCCAACAAGACACAAGGAAAGGCACATGTCACTCTTGCTAGAGATCTGAACATCTCTAGAGGGCTTTCTGAAATCAGACTAAGAACTTCATAAACCCACAAACTGTACCCCAATATCACAGAGGGTACATTTTTGATATAAATCAATTATGGTTTATACAAATATACTGTATAAATATCACTGAGCACACACTATTGCAAATGTGTGTATGGGACTACATGTAATATACATGAAGCATGCTCTATTATGTGGCTTCTCTACTATGCCTGCAATACTCATAATCCTCCTGTCACCATCAACATTCACTTAAATTCTACAATCAAACAGCACAATTTTCTTACCAATATTTCTTTATTTCAGCACCAGCAAAGCTGAAATACCTCTCAAACATCTAGAAAATGACTTGAAAATATGCCAACTAAAAAACTGCATGTTTTCACATAATAAACAGGACAATGTGATGAAGACTGTAGAATAACAACAACTGAGTTTGGCTGGTTCTTAACTGTTGCTAATAAACAATGTAAACCAAAGACAAATATATCTCATTCATAGTTTAAAAGATTGTCCATACATATGCTGCAAAACAAGCTTTCAACAAACTGTCACTCAAGGAAAACAGAGTTCCTTCTTTTGAGAAGAATGGAGCACATTATAATGGCAGAGGAGATAAAATGTTTGGGTTTTTTTTTTTTTTTTACTTATATACCGCCCCATAGCGCTACAAGCACTCTCCGGGCGGTTTAATGTTAAATAAACTACACAAAGGAATGAACAACAACTCAAAAAGAGCTGTAAAGGAAAACATTAATAGCATCTGAAACAAGACCTGACTTCTCACCATTCAGACATATTTTCATCAGAACCCTGTTTCTGTTCATCTGCTTCGCATTCCATCCTTTCATTCCTTCCCCCTTTGTTAAGGAATGTTCTGGTCTCGACTGGCTCGTGCAGTCCTCGGCTAGCTGATGTCCAGGGAGCATTTTCCTTCCATCGGGAAAGACGCTGCTTCTTAGCAGACTTGAACCTGCAACCCTTTTCATAACTCCATTCTGACACTCTGAGTTTTTGCTGAAGACTAGCTGCCACCTCTGACGTTACACGCTTAACTTTTCGACGGCGCCTCAATGGGCGGCAAGGTGCATTCTCAGTGAATGAGTCTGACTCATGCCATGAATGTGGCTTACTCCTGAGAGCTGCACTAAGTGTTGGATGACATTTGGCGCCTGCCATGTCATCTGAGTCGCTGAAGTTGGCAGTTAGCACTTCTCGACAATCCTCCACAACTTCATCCAGGCTGGACTCAGAGGCCCCACTATAGCAGCAGGCGTGGTCTGCTTGGTGGGTGAGGTCTGAGCGCCGCTTGCGTCCTCGTCTCTTGCGTAGCTGTCGCCTCTGCTGCCTTGGGCTGAGAGTCATTTCTTCCCACAGCTCATCCAGTTTGTTCTGCTCAGATGTCTGCTCCAGGGCCGAGGCCAAATCATGCACCAGTTCATCCATGGGCAATGTCTGGCAAAATAAAAGTAAACAATTAGGATAAGCCATCATGCTAACACATCGAACCACACATCATGAATCATCAAGCCATACAATGGGTCTGAATTTTTTTAAGAATGTACCACTAATGAACGTTGCCATTAAAAAAAATAAAAATCTGTATTTTATCTTTACAACTAAGATACTATACCATTATTTGTATCACTTATAACTCATAGGAAGGAAAGGTTCTATTCAGTATTTTCAAATAAAATGAAACTTGCACGAAGGGCACCAAACCCCATTAAAATGTAATAACCAAAGGAGTGGATACCATTTTCCCAGGGAATCTTGTGGATGTAATCGACATATAGATGTGAAACCCCCACGGGGGCAGTTTTTTCTCCAGTTTATGGGAGTGCTTTAAGGACTGTTGTGAAAATGAGAAGAATGGAGAGACTATATATTGTCCTGCATTCCTTGAAGAAACTGATAACAATGTAAGAAATACTGTACTAATGTCTTATCCACCTGCTGCCCCACAACTTTAACCTTTCACCACCTATAATAAACAATCTATATGACTTGCCAAAAATTAAGTGAAAAGAAACTAGCAAAGTTGTAATCAGAGGCAGCCAAAGGTTAAAAATGGATGTTCAGTTTGCACCATTTTACAGCCAGTCTGTAACTTGCCAAATACTAAGCTTTCTTCCACAAAGTTCAGTCCACAGTACCTTAGAGAGAATTTGGTACAGAGAAGCAGGACATCCCTGTCACCATTCACTTTCAAAATCCTAAAACTATTTTTATCACACCTGAATGGTTGGAGCCCTTTACTTAAAGAAAAGGATGTCACTTAGTGGTGGTACAGGAGATACCTGAGGATCAATCCCCAGTATCTTTACCTAGGACGGGAAAGGCTCCAGTGTGAAGCCCAGGGACACAGATACCAGTAAAAACTGAGCTGGACAGAGGTCAACAGCTGATTTAATCCCTGCCAACAATTTTTTCCCACAGAGCAGGCCTTCATCAGTATGACACTGGTAAGGGGGAATCAACAACAGAATGACCGCATAAATGCATCAAGAGAGGCATGCAGAAACAAGATGCAGAATTATACAGAAAACTTTGGTCTCGTCCACTAACACCCTCCTTACTTCCCTCGCCGGGTCCTCCAGCCACCATCTGGCTTTTATAAACGGCGGCGCCCCCCTCCCCCCAGGCCTTCATCAGTATGACACTGGTAAGGGGGAATCAACAACAGAATGACCGCATAAATGCATCAAGAGAGGCATGCAGAAACAAGATGCAGAATTATACAGAAAACTTTGGTCTCGTCCACTAACACCCTCCTTACTTCCCTCGCCGGGTCCTCCAGCCACCATCTGGCTTTTATAAACGGCGGCGCCCCCCTCCCCCGAGCTATTTTTCCCCCTCTGGGTCCCTCGGACTGTCAAGGGCCTCCGACCTAC